ATTTACCGGCTACAGTTGTAATGGAACGTTTGTTCACTGCACAGAATTCTACAATTTTTCTGTTATCACAGTGTAGAATTCTATGGTTTAGGGTGAACGCAAAATTTGGTGAACGCGCACCGGGTGAGAATAGCCACAAGACTCGCCTGCACTCCGGGTGAGAATAGAGGTGGCCTTAGCCTTAATAAATCAGAATAGAAAATCTAGATCTAGATCTAGATCTAATCTAGATTTAGATCTGGATAGATAGATCAAGAAAGATCTAGAATCTAGATCTAGATCTAGAGATCTAGATCTACCAGGCAATCTTTGGGTCAAACATAGCCCGGTAACCAATACTCTTCTGCTGCACCACTCTTCAGTCTACTACACTCATGACTCAAACCCATCAACAAGGCCATGGACCGGGCATGGATAACAACAATCCAGTTTTTGACAAGTAATAATATAACCAGATTTGGACCCATTTGTTACTGGAACAGATGAAAAGGACACCCAAGCTATAGATCTACATACTTTGATAGTCTTACCTTCCCGTTTGGGAACTTCTTCAGGAAACCAGCAGACGTGTTGGTTTCACCGAGCTTGAAACTGCCGTCTACTTTCACATCTGCCCCGCTATATTGAGCGGCGATGAGGACCTTGTTGGCCCTGAAGCTTTGAGGGTACGTGTATAAAGTCTGTAAGGAAGAAAATAGATACAAATATGTTTATTTGGAACACTTATTTATTTTATTCAGAGTCTCAGTTGTGATTTTTTAACTTATTAAAACAGATATCGAAACGATTTTCAAGGTACCGGTAGGCCTACTCACACCGGCCGCCATGTCACCAGCGTAAAAGGAAGTCAACAGTGACTGCTGGCACTTCGTAGCCGAATCCATAAAGATTTAATAAAGAATCGATATCATAAATATCCAAAATCCTATCAAAGAGTCTACATAACACTATCTTTGATCCTATACAACAGTTGTAGGACTATAATAGATCTCACCTGTAATATAATAATATATTGTATTTATTTTGCTTATATAATGACTATATATTATTTTTCAGTACATGCATTACTAAGATCTAGTAGGGCCTACTTATTCTGACTTTCAGTTAGCAGAAGCCCAAACTGACTGTCTTGTTTCCCGCACAACGTTTTCCACACGTTACATCTTGCACCCTATCCATCTCACTGCTCGTCATTTTTTCTCTCACTCCCCC